TTGCATCAATCACAAAAATTAAGATTTTTTAAATAAATGAACCTGTCGATTCAATTTTAAAAGAAATTTCAAACAAGGAAAAACTGATTGCCATTGATTGGTCATAATTATCAATGATTTTTCAGCTGTTCTTGCTAGCAAACGATAGGTTCCGCTCTTGTTTGATAATAATGAAGATCTTCGTATTGTAAACTGTTAGTAATCATGTTGTTTTCTTTAGAAACGGGTCGCTTTTAAGACCATTTAGTCATTACAAAGGTCAGTTGTCGTTCGAAAATTAAGAAATAAAATTGTTGTATAAAGAGATACTCCGACGTTTGATCTTTTATAAATGATATGGTCTTTCATTCTTCAGCTTTCAGTTAGTAAAATCGTTAAAGGCTTTTGCCATATTCTCACTGAAAACTATGGTGCTTTCAGGAAACATTGCAAACACATTTTCTTGTTTGAAACAACACGTGAAGCGGGTGTGGGTGTGAAGTGTTGGCGTGGGTGGGTGCGAATGTGGGGTGGATTTCAGTGTGTGTTGTGTCGCTACGATCTGCTCTCGAGCCAAACCTACAGTCACACCCACTCTGACCCCACATCCACACCCTAAGTTTCTCTTGCTTCAACTTGATCAATTCGATCAAAGGTTTCAATTGTTATTGTTGATGAATTGGGATTGAAATCAATTGTTCGTCACAAGTTTTGTAAAAGAATCCTTTGAAAGCATTGAAATGAAAGATGAAGATCATATTGAGAATCTCGTCAAAGAAGATAACGTTGAGCAAAATCTTCCGATGTTTGCCAATATGCATCACTTTCAATTCTTGAACGTAGAATATCTCCTTGTATTTGATGTTCCTCAAGATTATTCATTATTGAAATTCTTTCACGAGAAAATTCATCAAATCTTTGGAATAATTCTTTCGAAAATTTGACGGCGCATCTTTTAAAAGGATTCAAGGTTTTATGATTTATCCTTGAGAAAATATATGCGAAATAAAAAATCTTGCAAACTTTGTGGGACACCTCGTATTTATCAATCATGCAACCATCTGTCTTTTCTTCCCACAGCAGTTTTTTTCTATGCTCGGTTGATAACAACACTAGGCACTTCATTTTTCACATCCAAATCGAAAAATGCATTCATCTGCTCTTACTATTCTTCTTGTTCTTGCTCTTGCTTATGTTGCTTCATTCCATGCGGCCGAAGTTCATGATGGTGAGTAAATATTGTCAAATCTGTCTTGAACACTATTTCAATCCTTATCAGGTGTGTGCCCTAGTCCACCCTTCCATCCTCCATGCCGTCTACATATCCCATGTACGCCTTCAATGACACGAATCAAATGCCATGGTGATAACGAATGCCCATCAAACGAAAAATGTTGTCGCGTCCCATGTTCTTGCACGACTCGTTGTCTTGAAGTTCCTCAAAGCTGAATTTTTTTCAGTCGTAGCAGCATATGTTTGATGTTAGATTGATAGAATATATAAAAACTAGCAGATTTGAACTATTTCTCAATCTCAGAGTGTGGGTGTGTGTGTGGATGTAGCTGAGAAGAAGATCAACACCCACATCCACACCCTACCGAATCTGAATGTTGTTGGTTTCGAAGTTGTTTGTGTCGGGCTATATACATAGAAAAAGTTACATTTCCATTAATCAGGTGATTAAAATCTGACACAAACTGACAAGGAGTCATCGTAGAATTCATCACTGCAAGAACTCGATGTGAGCCTGTCAACATTCTTCTACAGAACATTGTCGATTGATCGTTTAATTATCAATATGATTCATTATCTGTAATCAGCTGTACTTTCAACTGTTTTATATATAAACAAACAGAGTGGCGCCCAACTTTTGTTTTAATTATCTAAAACCTTGAAAAAAATTCAAGTTCTCAAAACTTTGTTTTTGTTTTGGATATTATTTACATGCGAACGAAACATCGTAACGAAAATTGAAAAAAGAAGCTTTGAATTCTCAACAGCACTGTGACATATAAAGTGAAATAAATGCGCTTACGTCAAGCTAGAAAGAGAGAAAGAAAACTAGTGATTAATCATCATATAGGTGCTTCGTACCTTAGAAAAACTGACCCATTGTGACAATTTATCTAATGAGAGATTTTCACATCTTGTTTCTTCCATAGTACTTAATAAATTGAAATTAACTATTATTTTCAATCTTTTTACCAATAATACGAAAGAAAGGCGGTGATTAAGGAGATAGTCTTTTTTTTGCAGAGACATCTATCTGTTGGACATTGATTGTTTAATTTACTTGTCGTCTAATGTGGAGTTCTCAAGACGACAAACATTATCGGTTTATATTGAGCAACTTCTGTTCAGTATGGGTATTTTATTATAAGATATAAGTATATATGTTAATATCAACATAGTTTCCTTTTCCCTTTCTTTTTAATTTTTTTTTGTTCGAAGATTTAACATTGTTTTGAAGATGGCTTTTGATTTTGCATACATCTTATCATGTGAGTGATAAGTTTGTAAATATTCTTTCTTCATCTATATATGATATGAATACAATGTCAAAATTAAAAACTAATATAAAAAGTTAGTCATAAATCACAAGAATTTTTTGAAGAAAACGTTATAGGCCCAGCAGAACGATAGCAAAAATGATACGAAGACCATCAAAAGCTTGCTAGATAATTTAGAAACATTCAACAACTTCTGCACAAATTTTAAAAGCTTATAACATCCCTATACAACTATTTCAACGAAAAAGTTGTGTTCATACTTATTAAGTTTATTAAAAGATCCTCATACATGTAAATCACATGCCAATTGTTTATTTTCATTTATAATAATAATATATATCACTTTCGAAGTCATGTTATCAAAGATTTATACACATCTAAAGATTCATATTGATAAATATCGTGATCACCTTCAGACAATGAACATTGGATTCAATAATACTTATCAGTAATTGGTGAAATATAATAAAAATAGTGGTTTGATAACGTTATTACTACATTTAGACGAAATTAGTTTAGTAAAATCTTCTAATATGAATATGTGCCTTTTAAGTAGTTCAATAAATCGCTGATACAACATGGTGTTAATGTCCTTTTGGTTTAATTATAAGAAGCTAAATGTACAGACCAGATTGAAAAGATCTCGTAATTTAATCAAATGCATCAAAACAAAAGGTGACTGTGATTGAAAACAGTTCTGTTTTTTCTGATTTAATACATTTACAGGAATTGTCTAGTAAGAGAAAAAAAAACAGAGAAATGTATGGTATCTGAAGAAGAAATTTGAACTTCAATTCACCTTGTAATGATGGTAAGAAAATCGAATACCTTAAGAAATATAGTAAAAACTGTCATGAGTTTTGTAGCTATATCCAACACTTTGCTGTATATCGTCTGACATGTATGAAAATTACATCCTGCATGCGTAGCATTATCATTTGAATACTAAACGAAAATTTTACAAGATCAAAGAAGATGCAAATGGTCTATTCAATTGTTCAGTTGTTGATTTTAATTCTTGAATGATTGTAGGATACGTTTGAATATTTTTATGAGTACATAATGCAAATATGCATTAGAATACTAAATCAAATAGATAGATCTTAAAATATTACTACCTGGCTGTAATTTCAATGATTCACATTTATCTTCACGAACGGTGTGCATAGCGCCTATTTATTGAAATTGTAGCGGTGAAGAACCAAATAGACCGTTATAAAACATCACTTCAGATTAAAAAAAAAGTTTGAAGCTGTTTGATTGAATAAAACTGTGTACTGCCCATCATCAGCAAGCAAAAATTTCTCTCTATTTTCATTTAGTCGGCACAATGTTCCGAGAAGATATAACTATAAAGAACTCAAAAACAATAAGCTAAGCTTTTCAAATTCTACGAAAACAAGTACTATTTTCTATTAATCTTATTATGACTTGTTTTAAAATACATTTTTAAACTGCCGTTGGTTAGATTACTTATAATTTTAAGGAAAATATGCCATCTCCACTAATAGCTATGTTACTGAATGCGTCGATTAAATCTCACCAATTCATAAACCTGCCATAGTGCTGATCATTAATGATTTTACTATGAATATTATAAGACTAGACAGAATACCAATTTAATTACAAATTTAAGCAGCACAATAAACGAAATTGCAACAGTTGCATATGTCCAAAATCTTACAACGATGATACAATAGTCAATTATGATTGTGAATAGTACAGTTTTCGCCACTACAAATCTATGGAGCAATTCTGTAGTATTAGAATCCTCGATCAGTCTTAGAATTTTAACTGCTTTGTTCTGTGCTTTCTTCGTAATTCGCTTTTAGCATCATTACTATTCTTGTACTGCGCCTTGATATAAATATACATGCATACTTGTATGAATATTGAAAGAAAATATATATCGAAGACAACATAAACTAATGTAGCCATCACACATTCTAATCAAACAGATCTTATTGAAATTTTATTCTTATGATATTAGTTGAAGAATGATATAATAGGACGAAAACATAGAGCATCGTTTTTACTATCAATTGATATAGAGTGAAAATTTCTTTAAGCTTTTTTTTTCTATAAGAAATAATCTTTAAATAACATATTAATTTTAATTTATCTCTTTTTCGATATACTCAAGTTCTTGTTAATAGATTAAGAATGATAAAATTGTAATAAAATCAATGTTCACAGATAATAAAATGAATTCAATTATTGATAAAGAAATTTTAATAAACATTCGATTTGATCATGAACAGTGCACAATTCTACTGAATGCTATATAAAACAAAAAGGAAAGAAAAACATACACACACTCCATACAAAAAAAAAAAAGAAAATATCATTAAAAAGAAAATCATCTACAAAAAGAAATCGACACAGGATTGATTACTAGAGAACTGAATATATTAAATGTTTTTGTTTATCACATAGTGATATTCAAAAACATGAAATCACGTTCCTAGGATAACATATATTTTATGAGAAAAAGAAAAGAAAATATTATGTCTAGACTGATGTTTCATAAAATAATGATCTCTCTGGTTTAATCTAAAAAGAAAAATAATACTATATTATTTGATAAAATAAATATTCAGAGAATAACATACATTTTCTGTTAGATGTTGATCTTTTATTATTCCATTGATTCGTTTCTTTGTTAATGGTGTTGATATTCTTAAAAAAGAAGTTTTTACATTTAAATTAATTTATCAAATACATATATTAAATTTTTCGAACAAACGATCTAATTGTTAAATAAATATAAGTTATTCATAAATAGACTAACCTATTATGATTTTGTTTATTAGTTAAATCATATGAATTATCTATTGGAGCTGGTAAACGTATAGCTAAACCATTAGTTGCTTCATCAAAATCTGTAATTAATTTTTGTTTTTTTATTTTCATTTTATTCAATGATGATGATGGTGATTTTGTAATTATATTTCGTTTATTATGATTATTATTATTATCATCATCAGTTGTTGATGAATGTAAACAATTAAGTACTCGAGTATTTCGTTTATCTTTATTTTTTTCATTGTTATCGTCTTTTGTTTTCATTTTTATTGAATCTATACATGATTGAATTAATTTATCTGATCTAGGTATTGAACCACAATAATGTCGACTACTCATAGTACGTGTTGAAGATAAATTTGAATTATTTGATGTTGAAACAGTTATTTGTGGAATAGATGTTAATGGTTCTGATTTAGGTTTTTGAATAATACTATATTCAGCTGAATCAATATTATCTTGTTTAATTAAACGAGATTGGATTGTTGATGATTTTAAATAATCTGGTTTAAGACGTCGATCAGGTATAGGTGGTGGTGGTGATGGATATTCAAATTCATGTTCAAGATCAGGATGAACATAAGTTGTTACGCCTATTGATGAACTCATTGTTGTTGGTTCAGATTCATATGCTTCATCTGTTGTTGATTGTAATGATGAAATATTTGGAGTTAAAAAATCACTTTGAATAAATGAATATCCTGAATAGCATTCTGATAATTGTTCATAAAATAATTGTTGCATATTAATTCGTTCTTGATTACTGGAATAAGCTGAATCACGATGGACTTCATCATTTAATTCTATAATAAAATAAGAAAAAAGACTATTGAATTATATCGATTCTATTTCCTCTTTTTTCTTTTTTATATTTAACTTGATTATTCTAGGATATAGAAGAAATAGAATAATCGAATCAATATAAAAAAAGAATGACAATGCATCATAATAATACCTTCATCATATTCTTCGATGATTCTTTGTTGAGCATGAGGACAGTCTTTCCTTGGAGAATCATAAATGTTATTTCGACCTGATATGACAATTTGAGTTTTTTCTAATGTTGATTGAATAGGTATCAGAGTTTGTGAACTAAAAAGATGTGGATATGTAATTTATAAAAAAGAAAAAACTATATAAAGTTACAGATTATGAACATCGTCAATGAAAGACGTCGGTATACTATCGAGTAGAAGTCGTCCGATTCTTGCTGTTTCTTCATTAACACCTTCAGATGATTGATATTTCGCTAAATGACTATATTCAGGATATACTGTTACATCAATATAATGGTCTATAGTATTTTGTTGCTGTTCAATATGAGATTGACAAATAGGAGATGAAGGAAAAGATTTATCAAACGATTGTTCTGTATTTGAATACAATTGAGAATTAGTTACTATAAAATCTTTCTCAAGTGTTGATGTTGATCCATTCTATAAATAAATAAAAACAATATAAATAGCAGTGTGTTCAAGGATAATTATGATCGAGTTATTTAGTTTTCATGTCCTTCATTTAGCTTTATTCGTCGAGTAACAGTCATTAATAATCAATATACAGGTATATGATATAAAAAAAAAAAAAACGTTTCCTTGAATTTGATAGTTCTAATTATATATGATATACAAAAGCACGAAATACTGACGACAATCAAAAAAGGTAACAAAATCAAGAAAAACAAAGTAAATGAACCTTGTGAAGTCTATTGAAGAAAACTTCTTTTAATTGTATTATATTGACACGTACAACATATAGGTGTAAATCATCCTTGGAAAAGACACTTATAGCATTGTGCACAAGTCTGACAAGACAAAAAGCAAACAAGTAGCTCATAGTCGATTATTTGTCTACAGATTACTTACAAAATATTAACTGATTTTTATAATAGAAATCTGTATTTACTAGAACTGTAACATATCGAGGATAAATTTGAAAATCTATTCAAACATACCTGATTTGAAGTTGTTTGTTTTGAATTATCAATACCATTATGATGTGTTCTTGAAAATGTATATAATTTATTAAGACTACATCGTGGAATATTTGATGAATATTCATCGTCCGATATTTCTGCATTTGTTCCAAAAACAATAAATTCATCCATATCATTCATATCATTTTCATCTAATTCTCTGAGACCATTTTCATCTTCTGATAATTCTCTTACACCACTATTTTTATCATCATCATGTTCAAGGCTATGTAAATGTAAGACATCAGTAAGAACTGATTCAACTAAATTATTTGCAACACGTTCAAATAATTCATTATCATCAGATTTTTCAATAGATAATGATAAATTTGTTATTGGTGGTATAAGATCGTTATTTTTCATTGGTAATGATCGATTGTCATGTTCTTCATTAGTTACTACTTCTAATTCAATACCACTGGAGGGTTCTTTTGTACTATAAAACAATAAAAAAAAAACGAGAAGCTCAGTACTACAAATCAAAATTGATTTTTCTCACATTGCCAATGGCATTATTTGAGATTCATTTGATTTAATATGATTGTCTTGTTGCTAGAAGACAAAAACAATTAATAACAAAGCTACTTTTCATCTCGTTCTTTTTTTTTTTATTATATGCATAAGAAAGAAATGAAGAAAAAAAAAAGAACTCGATGTGCATAGAATCCACACTAACCTTTTCATTGGTAATCATATTCTTAGTTTGTTCCGTGATGATGTTTTTTTCAATATCACCATTAGTTACCAAAAGATTTGATATTAATATTAAACCTTCATCATTACAGTGAATTTTTGGTGTATCATAATGATTGTTTTTAGACGATTGTTGTTTGTATTTGGTTGATGTTGATACTTTTATATTACCTGTATAAAAAGAAAAAGCTTTCTTTTCATCGTTCGATAGTCCTTGAAAACGTAAGAACACACAATTGGTGCACATATTGCAAGCTTTTCTTTTGATGTATTCATACAAGAGTAGACATGGCGTATGCTAGTTGTTTGCTTCGTCATTGAGATGAAGCCATTTAGTTTAATTAATATTTTAGGTATAGATCGACAAGATAGTATTATTTACGATAAAGTATGAATCAATTTTTTTTTTTTTTGTTTTTTTTAATCATTAATAGTCTAATCCTGTGCTTTATTTCATTTCGTTTTCTTTTCATTTATTTTCAATTATTTTCTCTAATGATCGTATGAGAGAGATAAATGGAAATATATGATCAACAGAAAAAAAAAAACATACGGAAAGACTGTCCCTGACTGTCTTTGATTACTGATAAGTTATATAAAGACAACAAATGTGACAGATAGCTGCCATTGAAAAGGTCATGAAATTTTTCCGATGAAAGAAATCTTGTTCGTTTACTCTCAACAAACATAATCTAAGTAGTGAAATATAATTATATTCGTCAAAAATGATTTTTATTTTTATTTTGTTTTTATATCAAAGATATAAAACTAAAGTTTGTCATCTAATGAAATGATGTCTATTGTAATCGCATCATTAAACCGTATATACAATTCATTTTTTTTTTCTTTCGATTTAGTCTACTTTTCATCATTGTCTCATATGACATCGCATCCCTTTTTACATAATAAAGACGAGACGTAAGTGAAAAAAAGAAAGATCGAAGAGAAACTATAATTTTCTCTTTTTCCTTTTCTTACAATCAACATAAAACACAATCACATGCGTCTAGCATGCGTACAAGCTGCGATAAAGATCTGTTAATCGACAATTTGATGAAGAAACCATACAGTTAGTTAGCGTGTCCTTGTAATAATATGCAAAGAACATCAAGTAAACAGAAGAATTTTCTTCTTTTTTTTTGCTTTTTCTTTCCCTTTCTCTCATCATTTTCTCTTTAATTATAATCGAACGATGACAATGATTGATTATCGATGTTTTTCTTTGTTTCAATCCAAATATCTGTATTTTATTTACCTGTTTGAACATCTGTTATTTCATTAGGAATAAATTGTGTTGGTTGATACCATCGACTAGATTTTGATACACGTTCAATACCTTTTTCATATTTTTTTTGTCGTCGAGAACTATCTAATAAAAAATTTGGATGCCAAGAATGTATTGATGGTGATGGTGATGTTGCTATTGATGATTGACATGAACGATAACTATGTGGAATACGTACATAAAATATTTCAGGCGTTCGTTGAAATTCTTTATAAGATGTTTTCCATTGTATAGGTGTTGTAGTTGAATTAATTGATTGTTTACTATTATTAATTTTATTTAATGATGGTCTAGTATCTGTAAACCATGATGGTATAGTTAATTTTTGTATTGAACGTTGAAAACGTTTTTCATAATCATTCATTATTATAGCTGATATTAGATAAGATGAATGAAAATTATTAATACCTATTGTTAATGATGAATTTTTTTGTTCTCTATTTGATCTATATAGAACAGCATTACATTGATGTGACAATTCATCGAATACACTCAAATTGTGATCTGATATTGGTACAGGTTGTAAATTTTTAAAATAAAAAAAAAAAAAAAAAAAAAAAAGGTAAAAGAAAAGAAAAGAAATAAAAGAGATGCAAACACAACATTATATTCAAAAAAAGAGGATTAACTTGAAAGGGGTGGAGATATGTAAAATGATATGACTATACGTAAATGCATGGATATAATTAGGTGAATTATATCTTTAGAGTTGAATATGAAATCAAATGATTGGCATTCAATTAGGATTAAATACATAAGAATCTTCTTACCGAATGAAGTCAAATGATATCTATTGTTATTAAATAGACTATTTTCATTATTGACATATTCTTGTTTTTTGGGTAGGTGCCACAACCCAATTGACAATATTGTCTATGTTGTTACCACTTTGTATACAATCTAAATCGTCCCAAAGATGATATAAGACATAAGGCGCACACACGTCGTTGTATGCCTGACAAAAAAGAGAAAGAATACTAAGAATAGATGAGATGAATAAGAGTGATAAGAAACGAAACATTATCTTGTACTTGCTTCTTTCTCTTTCTCTCTCACTCTCTCTGTCTCTCTATGTTTCTCTTTCTCCATCTCAAAAAAAAAAAACGAGACAAGAAAAAAAAAGGATCTTCTTTCTTTTACTTGTTCAGCGTATACATCCACTCGAAATACTTTACAATCGCTACGCGTCTGATCTTATACATATAGAAGAAAAGAACGAATATAAAGAAACTTGTATGTATAGTTAAGAAGTATGGTTCGTAAAATTTCATTCACATGGTACAGCTGCTGTCACAACGGGAAGAACGAATAACGGCACCAATCATATACACATACATATACAAATACAGTCATAACCACTCATCTAAATGGCATCTGTTGATTTGAAACAGAGCGAAAGGCTGAGAGAGCAATTGCTACATACTTGTCATAGTATCGATCAATATGGTCATATCATCAGCAATATATATATATATAAATGTGTTCCTGATTAGCCGTATACATATATATGCATCAATACACACGTTCTTCATCATCAGATAATAGAAAAAAGTGGCACCCTATAGACGAAGGTTAAAATCATCATCACTATCATCAGTCTTTTCTTAGTAGAATTCTATCTAACACATCATCACCATCATTTACGATGTGTCTATTTTATTTGAGAATAGAATATTGATTTGCATTTTTGTCAATTATAACAGAAGAAAAAAAGGAGAACTCTAGTTAGCAGTAGTTGTCTACTACTACTACTACTACTACAATTGTTGTTGACGTGAAGAAGCCTGTCGGGATCATTCTTCGTAACAATATTATCATCTTCTCTCTTTCGATCTAGTACTCAAAGGGTGAAACAGAAAGGAAAGAAAAAGAACGGCAACTAAAAGAAGTTCGATTAGAAAACTTTTTTAGTGACATACAGACAGTAGTCGAAATACGATCGATTCTAATCATCTACAAGAAGAGCAAAAAATAAAAAAAGAAAAAGAAACAAAGGAAGAGAACAACGAGTTAGTGTGACAATTGATAACATCATATATTTCTATCGTTTCATAAATAAGTTCATTGTTAAATTTCTTTTCCATTGTTCTGTTGTTCAATAATAAAATCATTTAATCTTTGATGTTGTTTTTGTAAAAATTCATATAAATAATTTATCAATAATTAATATTTACTTAATTTAACTTATCAATTTAATATAGATTTATAATTATATATTAGAATATTATTTCTTCAAATGAAAACTAAAGCATTAAATTGTATATTCATTCTCATTGCATATATGATTAGCACCACACCATTAATAGAAACGATTCTCTTTTGTATGTGTGTGTCTGTAAAAAATTGCTCCTATAAGTAATAATGTTTGAGACCATTGACCTTGACCAGATGAATAACGGTTAAGTAATGCAACTTGTATATATCATTGAAAAGAAATAAATAAATTGAAAGATTACTAATAGAAACATCAGTTGACTTGTATCAAATATATAATTTTCAATATGAATACGTAAAAATTAATGAAATTCTCTAAGTAATTAGTTTAATATAATTTCAACTATATAAAATCGATTTTGAATTACTTGATTGTCAATATATTGACATTTAGTTTTATATTAAGATGCTTTTCTTTTTCAGCCTTTCAAATTTAATTATTTCAGACGTTCAATAGTTTAATGGTCGGTTGCATACATGATAAATCTATGTCCTTGTTAACGGTGAGAGATTGTGACAACCTAAATATAAGTATGCATTCGTTGATAACAAGTACTAGTTTAGTACATCTACATGATTCAATGCAGTAGGATAACTTAGATAAAAGAATCGAACCTAAACATATGGTGATAAGAAATAATTGCCTTGCCTTGCTTTGCTTTGCTGATTTACGTTCTAAGGTCATGGTCATATGTACATTTATGATTTAATTTTCTTTTTATTTACTCGAGTAGAATATGTTAAAGAAAATTACATAGAAGTTTGTCAAAAGAAACAATTATGTGAATCTTATATAGATAAACAATCAGGTCGAGAATGTTTTTTTTCTCTTTTAAACAAATAGAAATCCAGATGAAACAAATATAAGTTGTAAAAACATGTCTAGATGTTCTCTTTCTTTAACAACCTTCGATTTCGTCTCATTTATGCCTTAGTCTATTTCATCTACGAGCAGATTGGTTTTAATTAATATTAACAGTTGGTTTCTTTTGTTCGTATCTATTTATTTAGAGAAAAATATTTCCGTCTTATATTATGTTCCTTGCTGATTAGAATAATAAAACTCACGATAGTCTTTAGATATTAGATTTCTTATTGCAATCAAAAACCTATAGATATTCTCATATTAAATAATATAAATACAATATGATTTTCATTACTAAGAATTTTATAGATGTAAATAGATAGAGTAAAACAAAACAAAAAAAAACCTTTATTTGCAAACAATCCTGTGAACATTTATACTTTCGCAAAAAAAAGAAAACTTCATAAATCAAAAGAATTAATTTTCATATATTGTTCATAGAATTTATTCGTTGATTTTAATGATGATAAACGTGTATTTATTATTGGTGACGAATTATTTGAATGAATCGATAACACATATGGATGAACAAATTTAACACATTTTACTGAACGCATTTTTATTATACCAATAATAAGTATAATTATAATTAATAAAGCACTAATAAGTAAACCAATAAATATAAATGGTAATGATAATATTGATTCATTTAAACGAACGAAAATTGATGTTTGTATACATCGTTTTTGTTGACATGTATAACCATGTGGACAAGTTTCTACTGATTTTTCATTAATACATTGAGATAATTCACAAATATACATATTAGTTTTTAAAAGTATACGTTGTGTACCTAATGGACATTGACAATTGAGATCAATTTTACCAGTATGAATTTGATCAGATATACGACATATACGATGACAACGTTCTGGTGTTATTGAACAATTCGAACCAAGTTCTGTATCAATACAAAAATGTTTAAATTTTTCTATACCATTTTGATATGAACGACATTGACATGTATTTGATAATGATGAACATTCATATAATTCAGGATGTATACATGTTTGTTGACATGTTGAATTAATTATTTGTTCAAATTCAATATGAATATGAAATATTTCTGATGTAAATAGATTTTCTTTTGTATCTAAACGACAATTTTTTAAAGAAATAATTGATTGTTTAAAATAAGCACCACGTATTGAAATAAATGTTGATGAAGAATATTCTCGAAAACGAAGTGGTACAGTTGTTATACGTGTTGATTCACTTGTTCGTATTGATAAATTTGACTATTTTAAAAAGAAATAAAAAACAAAAATGTCTAACTAATAGGAAATGTTTATTTAATATACATCTTGAAAGATAACATTTATTTGTATTTTATCAAAAAGAAACATCTATACTTCAGTTAATCCTTTCGAAACGAGATTCATTTATTTTGAGAAGCAATAGAAGTAAAGTAATTTTCATTTTTAATCAACACTATTAAGTTTTTAAATACTGACTACGATACAAACGTATGTCGTTTGTACTCATTCATGAATCGATGATTAGTTGTATGCATCAATAGAATCTGAATTGTTCTAATATAGAAAACGCCTATTAATTGTCTCTCGTCTCCAATAAATTAATATCGAGATTTTATATGTTATATTGATCTATTTTTATGATTTATGAGATTTTATATTAATACTGATTTTATTCATAAAGATTAAAAATCTCTATTTTATGACTATCCTTGACAATTATCTTATACTTAAATATTTCGTATAAAACTATAGTTGATCTTAATATATAGTGAAATTTAATGGTTTTATTTTCAAAAGTGTCGAGAACATTTAATAATTTATATTTATTGCCATAGGGAAAAAAAATGTTATTACCCTTTTGATCATTGTAACAGATTCATATATAAGCAGACAAACAAATACTTTCAGTTATTACATTATAACATGTAGTATCATAATGTATTTATTTAAGCCCTCAAGCAATTCATAGTGTCTATAAAAGTAAATAAAAGCATAGCAAATGAATATACAGAACATATTCATTTTTTAGATGTTTGTTTTTTCTTATACTAACTCGCAATAGTTTGATCAATGAAAAATAAAATGTTATGCATTTATATCATATTCATATTAGTATTATAAGCTATACTATGAAAATATATTTATTCATCGTTTTTTTTTTGTGTAATACAGTTATACATATAACCTACTCATAGAAACTTTTTACTTTTCGGATGTCTCTTTTCTTTTTTAAATCAGTTTTCGATGACTCATTATTCGAGAACATATTCAAAAATTGATGAATGAATTAGCAATGAACTATCTCAGTTTTAAGTTCTAAGAGAATAGATATCGTTTACTTATATCGTCTGTTGAGGTTGATTTGAACTCGAGTCTGAGTCTAAAAATTTATCGTCAATTGAATCTCCAAATTCAAAAATTTTTGAATTCGACCAGGTTTTAATTGTATTACAAAGTATCACATATTTCATATTAATATTATTAGTCTTATGTATTTTTCTTTCTAACTTACACGAATATCGACAATAGTAAATTCACAATCGATGGGTGAATAAATACGTTCACTTTGTAAACATTCAAAAATAAGAGGTATAGGTACTAGATAAGTATCTGCTAGACGATAAATAATACCAATTGAAAGTGATGAAAATGATTGATTTGATAATGCATATAATGGTTGAACAATTAATGATGTTTGATTTCTATCAAGTTTAAATATATTTGAATGTATTTGATAAAATGATCGAACAAATCGACAATTATGAGATAATTTTGCATGATTCAATTGTATAGAATATAGACTAAGAATATATAGACAAACTAGAAGTTGCATGATGATAGGTGAGAGATGTGATTGTCAACTGTTTTCTTTTCTTTCTCGTCACACACATATATATATATATATACAAACAATAATCGAATATCCTTGCTGTTATGATGTGTTCAAACATATGTTTACATTTCTACTTGAATATACATATAAATGAAAATTCAAGCCGGATGTTCTTTTTTTTTAAATCGAATAGAAACAAAAGGCAAAGAACAATAGAAAGCATACATATGTATATAATATTAATTTCGAAAATCATCAATAATTCATAATATAACACAAAAAACAACATTCATAACATATTCAAATTAAATCAACTTTTATTGTTCAGTCTTGTTCATTCAAATCAATTAACTCATGTATGTTTTTTTTTGTTTGTTGTTTTGATTTTAATGAATAACTAGCTATTGCTATGTTTTCAAAGGTCGTTCATAGGACATGTTGATCAATCATCATCATCACCGAAATGATGAATGATAATGCAATGGAGATATATCCCCAAAAGATTCATTATTGAACACGATTAAATCATTACAATGATTTGATAAGAAAAGACATGTTCATATCGTGATTTTGTTTTTTTAATGGAAATCAACACTTCTAATTATTTTGATTGACATGATATTGTATTTGTTTTGAATTTGGTTTATTGGAATAATATCAAGTTTTTACTTGATAAACTATGTAAGAATGTTCATCTATTTCGTTGTTCTTTTACTCGTTGCACTTATTCAATTTTATGTCTATGTGTATAAAACTAATTGAAAATCGGCATGGTATAGTATTGATTAGTTTCTGAATGAAAATATAGGCAGACGTGTTGGATTTGTCTTCTGAGAAAAGTTCCCAACTGATTAATTAATTTTAAATTGGAGTTATATGCATCATATTAGACCCAAATAAGCTATGAAGGCCTTGAAAAAAATAGTTCAGGTTATTAACATATTGGTGCAAAATATATATATTATTTTTTAAGTAATGTTAATATGAATACTGTGATCCACTTCAAGAATATTGATTTTAAAGATTTTCTGAGAAAAACTAATTTAAAATATTGAACTAATTGTTTTAAATAAGAGTTTTCCGAAAAATCTCGAACTTTTACAAAACAAAATTTCATTAGGTTAGTCAAATACCAATAGAAGCCTAGTTTTCATTAAAACACAACGTCGGAATGTCTGTATGTATAGACAAATCAGAAGAGCACAGATGCAAAAAAAAAAGAAATTTCTCATGAGTGCAAAACTTTTAGAACAAGGATGATATTTACAATGTCGGGAATGAATTTATGTTACCCTAAGGAAATACAAAAAAAAAAGAAGTATTTTTCATTGAATATTTACAATAATTAATGTATCTCCTGTTGAAGTACACGTTTCTTTGTACAATCGAACGAAGAATATTCTTCTATGTAATAAAAATGCCTTTGGAGATAATTCTTATCTCATCAAGTAGAACCTATTAGAATGACAAAGATGTTCGAATGGTTCATTCCCATGAGTTTTTATTTTTGACTTATGATGATTTGATTAGATTTTTCTAATAATGATAGACAGAATACTTGATGATGGTGCAAATAATGTCATTGTAATTATATAAAGTTGTTATAGTTTGAAGAAAGTTAGACGTTTGTTTGTTTGTTTTTTTTTATATTTTAGGCATTCGAGCATTTCTAATAGTATTTGTATAATTAAATTTCCATTTGAAATAATACTATTCGAACTGTCACAAACTTCAATATATAATTACATTATTTTGTTTTCCATAAAAAAAAAAAAGAAAAACGTTTTTGTATATACGCAATCTTGACCCTTTTGTTGTTATGTTATTTATTTCTGTATAGAACTTAAATATTTTTGTTAAACATTATTATTTTTATGTTAAGAATTATTAATTATGATATTGTCTACTCAATTTAATATTGAGAGCATGGAGTGCATATAGAAAATAATTCTATTATTTCTTTTTTTTTGTTAGTCGTTGATTATTTTTACAATGATTTGACATACATAAGAATAAATGTTATTTATTTGCATGATTTATTTTGAAGGCAAGAAATTGCTTTTAACTAATGTATTTTCTTTCTCAGATTTTTACTATATATATATAGATATAATATACGACAAGGTAATTATCGCATTGTCAATAACCGTCGACATATATTAGTGACGGCACTGAATACCAAAAAACAAAAAAAAAAAAAAAGGAAACTTTAAAATGTGTCACTTAGTTTCTTGATAGTTTATCTGTAGGCGTTAGTTTTCTCTTGATATCATACATAAGTCTATAAAGAAGAGATATAATATATGCATTGATATTTTTTTAAGATTTTTGACGAAGACAAAACAAAAAAAAAATAGAGAAAAAGAAAGAAATACAAAAGAGAGAGAGGGAACATTATAAAACAGCGTTTGATGTTGAAAGATGTTGAGATAAATGTGCAGCTTTACGTTTATTTTCTAATCCACGCATCATTGGATCATGTGGATTCCATGTTAACATTCGTACTGTTTTAGCTGTATGTTCTGTTAATGTATGAAATGATGCTGTTGGTGTTAAATTTGAATCTGTTGGTATAGTATTATTTAATAATGTTGCTTGAACTAATTGATGTTGTCGTCGTCTTTCAAAATTTGAATAATAATGTGATGTTTTATATGCAATTTGATTTTTTCGATTTAATTCATATGATGAATCAGGATCTGTTGTATCTGATACATGTCGTTCAAGTGTAGCAAGACATGATGGTGCTGTACAACAAAAACATATATGTTTATATAAAAATAATATAGCATTGCCAAATATACGATAGAATAAACGACGACTTATACGTTCAAAATCTGCACGAAAACGTGTTGATGTTGCCCAATAAAGAAGAAAATTAATAGCATGATTTGATTCACGCATACCTTTTTCAATAACAGTTAAATATGGATGAAATACACCCATACATACTTGAACATTTTCATATAGATTTCGTGTAAAATGACATTGAGGATAATTATAAAATAAATATGCTATACACCAGTGTACATAAAATGGACCAAGTAGAACAAGAAATGCAAATGAAGCAACAAGTAACATAACTGTTGTACCACGTTTTTCCACTACACTAAATAATAATTAGAAAAATTTCATAAGATTAAACAAAAAAAAAAAAGAAAATTAATGATATAAATATAATTTATTGATATTTTGTTTTTTAATTAAGATTGAAGTTATAATATGCTTAAAATTAAGCTATTAACTCTATTTATGACATATACATATTGACATATGAAAATAAATTTCTTTTTAATTGTTTTTTTTTTTAGAAATAATTATAGACGATATTATATTTTTATCGTTTACGTATACCAATGATTAGTAAATTGAATTTACACTCTATATTGTTGATTGATAGTTAACTGTACAAAAAAATCAACGCTTTCTTTTAAAATTTTTTGTTTTTTTTTTCGCCATAGAATCAAATAATGATAAATACAATGTTATTATTGATATGATAATATTTAAGTTGATAGATTTATCTTAAGGAATTATATAGATTAGACTTTCTTCTATTAAGAAGTAATAAAAATTCTTTAATTCTTATACTATTGATAATGTTTGAAAGATCAAGAAAAATCTAACGATACAAAAAAAAGAAAAAACAAGAAAATCTCTCCTTATCTTCTATTATCATATAATGATAAATATTAATGTTTACTCATCATATAAACCGATATTACCATTTTGTCTATATATCTATTGACCTTCTAATCATTAGATAAATATTTTTCTTATACTATAATCGATATAAAAGTATTTATGTCATATTAAAATATTGAAGACAAATAAAAAAAACAAAGCAAAAAGAAACTTTTTTTTTACGTCTCTGTTATTGATGAGGTCAATCTAGCCATTAAGTTTGTCTTTTTCTTGAGTTATAACAGAGACTTCTGTCTATCAAAAATTGTCTTCTTATCAGACGATCACGTCATCATAGTATATCTCATTAAGCATGTTTTATGTCTAGCTTACAGATAACAAAAAACAAAAAACAAAAACAACAATACAGTTTTTAATACTAAAGAATTTAATGAGATTTTTATTTTCGTACAAAAATATTCCAAAAAAAAAAAAAATTATTTTCTTACTTTGTAGAAAAACGTCTCATTGTACCATTTGCACCTTTAGTCATAAAACGTTTTTTTGATTTTTTAAGTTCAATTATAATTAATAAATTGCTTATTGTTATACCAACAAATGGTAACATAGCATAAGAAAAAACTGTAAAAAATCCACGAAATATTTGATAATAATCAGCTTGTACAGTTTCAAATGCTTCACAATGTAATGTACCATTTGTATAATATACAAAATCAAATGGAATTGGTACAACAAATAATAACATAATAAAAGCTAATAATGGTAAACGAAATTGATTAAATGTATGTCGACAAAATGGATATTTAATAACAATACAACGTTCAATAGCAATTAATAATAATGTTGTTGATGAACATTGACGAAAATATAAAAAAAATATTCCAAACATTTTACAAAATGTTGCTGATGCTTTTAAATATGTCATTACAGTACGAAATAATTGGGCAAATAAACTTGATGCTAAACTTAATAAATCAAAACATGTTAATGCAACAAATAATGCAAATGATGTTGATCGTCTTAATGAACCAAATATTAAAACAAGAAAAACAAATGTATTTAATAATATACCAATAGTAACAATACAATATGTAAATATAGCTAAAGGTTTTCGTGATAAATAACGAAATACATTATAACGTTGACAAAATAATGTTTGATTATTAAGAAAATCTATTTGATATAATTGTTCAATTGAATTATTATTAATATTACATATTGATGATGCAACTTCTTTTGAACGCATACAACATCCAGCATGCCATTGAGGTTTTCGAGAAAATAAAAAATTTATAGAAGTATTTGAACCAAAATCACTAAATACATATATGTCACGATTGGTTAAAGTTATTTGT